GGGTAATTAAAACCCAATTTTTACAATAAAAACAGAATGCATTAACTACAAGGTCTAATTATATGTAGTTAAACATTTGCTGTACATATTTAACTCATTCTTGGATTTTTTTTTTTTGGAAATTGTTTTAAAAGAATTATTAGAATAATTATATACATATATAAAACTTCACTTAAATCTTGTTACAACATTAATTACAACATACAGGATCTTTAAATACGCTATTCAAAAAATATAAAACACACACAGTTGAAGGTCCACTATTGCTTTTTAATACCAATCTATTTATAAACGTTATTTTAGAAATACCTGCATCAATAATGAAATAACTTTTCTGTTAAAAAAGAAAGCCAGTCAGTCTGCACATCAATACAGTTTAATCAGACTCTGTGTTAACAGCTTCTGTCTTTAAGTATTTGTATATGTACCCAAAAAATTAAAGTGACATTATAACATCTAAAAGTATATGTTGTAGTGAGTGAACAGGTGAAAGTCAAAATAATTTTATGTTTTGTTATCATTCCTTTCAATTTCATAACTGACTTTGCACAAATGATAAATAACTCACATGGCTCTAGGAAATTTGTAAATTTACCTGAAATGTTCGTTTTTTTAAGAGTGCTGTTGTCTTTTCATATTTTAGGCAGATTTATATTTTTATCCCAAACATTTTCCAATGACAACTTTTGGCCTTGTCACCATTATAATAGTCAATCTTTTGCAATTTATAGCCAATCAATCTCAACATGACTATGAAAATATGAGCATAATGTCACTTTAAGGGGCTGCTTTTAATTCACACCTGTTCATGTACATTTAACAAATTCAATAAAAAAAATCAACATCTTAATTTCTATCAATTCAGAATAAAACAAATTTAAACATTTTTTAACATTTGAAATGAGATTACTACAATGTGATACTGTTCCTATATCTCCATGCTTTGTAAAAACTTGGCTTTGTATTTAAGAGAATTACACAATAAACCAATGTAACATTGTACTTGTTTTGACAGAATGAAATTGAATGCGAGATTGCAATTTTTCTAGCTATGCTAGTATATTGTTTTAAAAAAACATGTTTGAGTTTATTTTATCCGATAGTAGATTGTAATACAAGTCACATTTACACATTAAGGTAGACCATGGGTAATGCATTACCTCTACTTTGAAGAGTATTCCAATAGGCTAGAATCGCTTGTAAACTACATTGAAATTGAAGGGCCTGGGTTCAAACCCCAGACAGGCCAACTTTTTTTCTTTCTTTTTTTCTTTTTAACATTATTTATGTATCTCTCTGATCCCTTATGGAAGAAAAAGAGTTTGATTTAAATTATATAATTATTGTAGGTATTTTTTTGGCTAAATAATGCCAAAATTTATAGCAAATATGATACCAGATATTTTCAAAGTTGGATAAAATAAAAACTACACGGTAAAAGTATTTTATATTTCGCATGATTAACTAAAATACCTTTGAGAAAATTTAGGCAAACTTTGAAAACAGACCCTCATTTCGATAAATTTTAGGGATATTTTGAATAAGGCATTTTAGATAGGGAAATGGTAAAATTAGTGTTAAAAGTGGGTGGGGTAGGGTAACATTTTTATACATATTAAGAACATTTTTTTTAGAAACAAACATTTTGCTTGTGTAATGTGTTACCTGAATGTTATTATTTGTTTCTTAACAATGAGCAATAGAAAAACATTTTTTATAATGATGATATTACAGATTATTTACAGTTACCTCATTTCTGAAAATAAGCCCTTCTAATGGCAAGTCTTAGTTCAGAAATATAACCATAACTCATAAACCACTTGGTAAATTTTATTTAAATTTTGCATACAGGTGACCTTGAAGACATATAACTGTCCTATGTTGTCAATTTTACAGTTCCTTATGGTGCCCATTACCTATGGTCTACCTTAAAGCAAGATAAAATATGACAAATTACATCTGAATTACGAATCACTGTCAAACAATATACATGCACAACACTCCAATCTAAAAACATTAATAAACAAACGATAATGAAAATAAAAGCACTAAATCCTGAAGTAAACTTTTAAAATTTTATACTTTTTTTCTTTACTAAAGTCTACTCATTATCTTTTCAGTACATGTACTTTGTTATAGCAGTTTTAGAAGACACATGTATCAAAAATCTGAGAAAAAAAAACCTGAAACAAAACAAAATCTTTGACTTTTCAATTGCCTTGAAAAAATCCAACTTGACTAGAACCAACAGGAAAATTTTCATTATAACATGTGAAATTAATCTCAGCTTCAATAACGTATTATCAGTAAAACAATTTAAAGTACATTAACTAACAATGAAAAATAATAATAATAATAATAATCAAGAAAGTTAAAGTTATATTTATAATGAAACAAATTGTGATACATCCACAAATTAGAATTCATTTAACATTCTAAAATAGTACTGTTTTGCTATTTGATATAAATTCACAACTTTGAGAGCATAAAAAATACAATATATGCACAGTGCTCAGAATTAAAAATTGATACATTGTTTGACATCAAAAATGACCCCCTTACTCAAGTCAAATTGTGTCAAACAGGTTAATTTCACTGGTAAAATCCAACAATTTTCAACAATGAGGAAACAAATTATTGCACTGTTTTATCATTCCTGAAAATGCTTTTCAATCTAATAACTCTTGACATAATGATCTTAATAGTATGCATCTTAACTGAACCATGTAAAATGATAATAATTTCAGAAAATTCAATTCCAATTCTTAATTGTTGTGCTGAGAAAAGAAAATGGTCAATGTATACAACACCATTTATGATGCCAATACCAATGATTTCTGTAAATTATATAATAAATTATTTAAATGCTGACCATTATTCTGAATATCTGTTAAATTCAACATATTTTCTGATATTCTCTTTTATTGTGACCTTCATGATTATAAAACTGTCTATATAAATAATAGAACCTTGCAACACTTTATGGTTAAACATTCAAAACTTATTATCTTTTTTAAAGCAAAACATAATTAGTTTGAATAGTCTTAACAATTTCAACTAATTAATATAATCTATCCAATCAAAATCAAGAATAAAACTGGAATCATAATGCTCGGAAAAGTAAACATTAGATAATACTTAACATGTTGGTGGAAACTTCTCATACCTATTGCACACACATCAAAACATTCGGAAATTAAAAAAAATATGTAATAATAAAAAAGTGAGGCAAAATGACAACACAATCACTATACATTACAAATTAATATCTAACAAAATAATGTAATAATATAAAAAGCTTCAGGATATATGTCTAGCCCCATTTTACCTTTAATATACTGCAGCTTTAGGAATATGGAAATCGCCTCATTTTCTTACATGTATTTACATTTACAATGGTTTTCAATGGAAACATAAATACTGTCTATGTTGCTCATTTTCTGTTACTATGGTAATATAAATATTGACTAAGTTGTTATTTTACATTGTTAAAGATATACTATGCTCAAATTTGATATTAGAAAATATTGATAATTGCTACATTGATATTAGAAAATATTGATAATTGCTACAAAGTTTTTTTGTTAATATGAAATAAAAATGTTTTGACGTCACACAAAGAAAATAATTTATGTTATGTGTAAATTCTACACACTATAGGTGGTCACAATATGAATAGAATAGAGTAAATAATGCTGTTTTAAAATGTTATATTACATTTTTCTTTACTATGTCAACTTATAAGGTTGCAGATGCCAATGTTGTTATTTTATGCTGTTGTTGTTGTTGTTATAGCAACAGACTGAACCACAGCTGTTTACCACCACAGAACTGGTCCCATGACTAGGGGAGAGTAGTACCCTCTCCTGTAGTAGTATGGTTCCCGTACACAAACCACCTGTCCTCCTGGCTGGTTCCCCATCACAATAGGACCTCCCCCTGAAGCATTGCTCACAACTAAAACAAATAACAATACAGGTAAATAAACACTCACTTCCAAAATCTCTTTTATTTCTAGACTCATACCACACACTACTTGATAATTATGAAAAAATGATTTTGAGTTTTATAATAAGAGTGAAATGGAAATCTCATCATTGCTATAAAAGTTAAAGTCTATATAATCTAAGTGACCCATAGGGCAGGTTGCTATAAACCAAGTTTGATTACAATATCTCATTCATAACTCTAGTTATCATCTTGAAACCATGATGTGGACCAAACAATGGACAGACGACTGACAGACTGACCTACAGCTGACAGACAGACCGACAGCTGACTTCTTTCACCCCCTTAACTGTGTTTGTGGGTGTGTAATAAATAAGAAGTACAAATGTACCAATATTTTTTAGAGCATAAAGGGAAAATGCAGCTTTGTCAGAAGATTGCTATCAACCTTAAAGCAGCTTGCTACCAGAGGATTTATAAATTTTCAAACCTTACTAAAACATATTTGGTGATGGTGGTGTTTGAAGTTTATCCTACAGATTACAGCATTACACAATAATCTTACAATAGCACAGTCCAGCCAAAATATTTAACAGCTTGAAGACATTTATTAATATTTACAATCTGAAGGACTCCTTGCATATAATAAGCAAAATGTGATATGAATTACTTTTTCATGAAATCAACATGAATCTGGGAGTATGTTGCTTTAACTTATTTATATGGCCGGGGGCGTCCGTGGCCGATTGGTTAAGGTCCTTGACTTCAAACCACTTGCCCCTCACTGCTGTTGGTTAGTATCCCGACATGGACTTTGAATTCTTTCATGTGATGAAGCTATCCAGCTAGCTTACGGAACGTCGGTGGTTCTACTCAGGTGCCCGTTCGTGCCTGAAAAAATGGACAGAGGGGTACCTGAGGTCTTCCTACACCAGTAAAGCTGGAATGTCGCCAAATGACCTATACTGTGTTGGTGTGACGTAAAACCCAAATCAAAGAAGAGGGCCATGATGGCCCTGAGGTCGCTCACCTGTATATAGCCCCCCCCCCGGCCAATTTTTACCCAAGGGCTTTTATTTGTTTATTCGAACAGACTTGGTAGACACCCATAAGAAGATGTTTCATGCTAAACATCTAAGTTCTAGCTCATTGGGTTTTTTAAAAGAACATTTTTTAAGTTTTTACTATACACATATAGTTAAAAACAATGACATCCCTTGGGCAGGGCCAGTTTTGACCCCCAGGCTTTTATTTGAACAAACGTTGTAGATATTTACTAAAAGATGTTTCATGCTTAATATCTAAACTCTAGCTATTTGGGTTTTTTCAAAGTTAATTTTTGCTATACACAAAAAAGGAAAATCAATGACCCCCGGGGCAGGGCCAATTTTGACCCCGGGGCTTTTATTTGAACAAACTTTGTAGACACTGATTAAAAGATGTTTCATGCTTAATATCTAAACTCTAGCTATATGGGTTTTTTCAAAGAAGATTTTTAAGTTTTTGCCATACACATATAAGGAAAATCAATGACCCCCAGGGGTGGGGCCAATTTTGACCCCAGGGCTTTTATTTGAACAAATTTGGTAAACATCCATAAGAACATGTTTCATGCTAAATATCTAAGCTCTAGCTTTTTGGGTTCTTTAAAAGAAGATTTTTTAAGTTTTTACTATATGCATATAGGGAAAATCAATGACCCCCTGGGGCGGGGCCAATTTTTACCCCAGGGCTTTTATTTGAACAAACTTGGTAGACACTCACTAGAAGATGTTTCATGCCAAATATCTTAGCTCTAGCTCTTTGGGTTCTTTAAAAAAAGATTTTTTAAGTTTTTACTATATGCATATAGGGAAAATCTATGACCCCCTGGGGCGGGGCCAATTTAGTCCCCAGGGATTTTATTTGAACAAACTTGGTAGACACTCACTAGAAGATGTTTCATGCCAGATATCTTAGCTCTAGCTCTTTGGGTTCTTTAAAAGAATTTTTTTAAAGTTTTTACTATATGCATATAGGGAAAATCAATGACCCCCTGGGGCGGGGCCAATTTTGACCCCAGGGCTTTTATTTGAACAACTTGGTAGACACTCACTAGAAGATGTTTCATGTCAAATATCTAAGCTCTAGCTCTTAGGGTTGTTTAAAAGATGATACAGTTGACTCTCAATAAGTCAAAATCGCTTTACTCAAAATTCCGCGTTAGTCGAAGAATTTCTAAAGTCTCGTCAAATTTCCTTCTTTATCTTTGTATTTTAACTCCGCTTAGGTCAAATTTTGACTTACCGAGACTCCTCTTTAGTCGAAAAGAAAATTTGGTCCCGTCAATTAAAGTACAACATATTTTCATCTCAATTAGTCGTAGTGTGAAAACAGCCGACTGATCAAAGGTCGACGACATCAAGGTGAGATGTTGACTCTTGTGATTCACACGTTCCATAGACATTTTAATTGCCGGTCATTACGTATTATTAACACGTCGCATAAGTGGCTTTAATCCATTTCAGCACTTAAAACAGTTAGATAACTAAATTAAAATTTAATTACATTTCTTTAAGAAAGATGACTCGTGCCAGTCTGACGGGTGTTAGTCAAATAACAACCTAGGTATTGATGTGTGTTATCAACGTAAATGACATTTGTATAATTAATGTTCCGTCATTTTGCATACATTAATTTGTACTTCCGGTTCACGATAGTTGCTACTTTCGTTTTCGTCAGATGATCAATCGAATCAAATATAATTGTGTGTTTATGTTTCACTATTAATATACATGTATTAAATTTTGAATGATATATTTTTGTTCATTTATAATTTGTAGTTGTAAGAGATTTACCGTCATTTCAACGGTTAAATATTGCAGCATTGCCGCTAACAACAATAACAAACCTACTTCTTTGCACATTTAATCAGGCACATGTATATACATGAACGAATGTCAACGTAATGGCGGCAGTTCCATGTTACTCGAATTCCGTTTCTCTCGAAGTAAAATGCCCAGTCCCTTGGATTTCGAGTTACCGAAAGTCAACTGTATTTAAAGATCTTTCTTTCAGGTGCCATGGCAACCAGAGTTCTGCATGGAATTAAATTCTTTGAACAATTTTTAAAGGTGACCACCAAAGGAACATTCCTGTGAAGTTTGGATGAAATTGGCTCAGTGGTTTATGAGGAGATGTCATTTAAAGCAAAAGTTTACAGACGGACAACGGACGGACGACAGACGAAAAGCGATCACAAAAGCTCACCCTGTCACTTTGTGACAGGTGAGCTAACAAACAAAAATTATATGGCTTACCATATTGTCCTGGTGCAGCAATAATCTGTCCTGGGTACCCACCACGGTAACCATGTGAGTATGTCTGCGGGTAAATAACCTGTGACCCTGGAGGTACAACCACCCCTGGGGGCGCTGCTCCGTCCCCAGTCCTGTTCATGGTCCGAGCTTCTTCAAGGGCTATATGCCATGCCCTGTAACATGTAAAGGAATCAGGTTTTCAAATATTCAATCTAGTTAATAACCTTTTGAAACACCTTTTGTAAAGCATGAACAATCTGACTTAAATTGACTTCAATCTGACTAAAATTAGTTAACAGACATGTGTTAACAGTATATTCAGTTAACCCTTTACCTCATAATATTTATATATGCGAAACAACGCACTTTCAATCCCCCCCCCCTTTAAGGCCTCAAATAGTGAAATAATGTCATGTTTGGAATGTTGTTAAAAAAAGTGACCATTTTTTCGGCGCGGCCCCCCAACCTTCTGGGGATTGCCAGAAGGGGGATGTTCCCCCTTCTGTTTGGGGGGTTTGAAGGGGGGGCAGTAGTCCCCTTTGTCGCCAGGCAAATTTTGGACTTGTGAGAGGCTAAAAATGACCTTAGATCGATCATAAGATAACGTGTAACCAACACTGAAAAGCATTTGACTCTATCTCAATCCATTGAGAAGTTGCAGCACTTGGAAATCAATTTTGATGGAATAAAATCAACACAAAATAGTGATTTTGGCAATTTTGAGATGTCCCCTCATTGCCATGGTAACAGGAAATTTATGCCTGAGCATGTTGTTACAAAGGCAATGGTCCAGTCAACATTTGTACCAAGTTTGATTAGTATTGAAGCAGTATTTATAGTTTTATAGCAATTTGAACTTCTAATGGGAGACTTTTCAATGACAACAGCCATTTTTCACAAAATGCTCATGAAGTAATGGGTTAACTGTCATCACTCATGATTCAATAGTATATTAATCTAACAAAACTCCTTACCTACTGAGTTGACATAGTAAATGATAAGGAACACTTTTAAACATTAATCTGCTGGAAAGTGATTAGCCTTTGCCATCAATATAGAGCCAAGCTAGTCTGCAGTCTTACCAAGCTCTATACTGTTGGTATCTCATTTTTTTTTGGTCTTTAAATTTTGAAATCCCTGAAAATTTAAAGGAACTTACCCCAATTCAAAGCTGGACAATTTCATTATATACAAATTCAGCCCCTTAAGGGTTAATATAACAAGTACTTTCTACACCTTACATTAAAAAGTATTACAAACAGCTGCCATACCTTACATAATGATTTTTCCCCCATCACATGTTATACTGTTATCATAAAATAAGACAAACAGCTACCATACTGTACATTATCAAACTTTACAAACATTTGCCATACCTCATATCATCTGGTGATTCAGCACATAGTTTCAGGTTATCTGCATTACGTAGTTGAAGAGAGAACAAACACTGTTTACTGCTTCCTTCTGGTGCACTAAAATCACACTGTAATATATACAAAAACCTGTACGTTAAAGCTACATGCCTCCAGATGAGTCAAAATATTTCAATAAAATCAAACTTGAGAACAATGTACTAAGATGTAAGGAAAAGTAAAAAGTTTCAAGATTCTAGTAATATTTTACATATTATGTCCGATTAATGACTGATTTTTCAGTATTTACAACCATATTTCTACTGCGTTACTAACACAGTAAAGGCTATTTATGCATACTTTGACCACTTTTTGCTAATTTGCAGGGTTTGTAAATGCCATTGATAATGTATAAATTGCTTGCTTTTGGTTACTTCACAATATACGAATTCAAATACATTTTCAAAATTTTCATGAAAATTAGCAAGAATCTGGAGCCGTGCTGCTTTAACACAGCGCAGTCAACTAATCTCTGTGCTTAAAAGCAAGAAAAGGGGAATAACTTTGTAAAAAGGTAACTCAGAGTTAAAGGGCCTGTGCCCATAATGTGAAATAATCACAGAAAACCACAGACTTAGTTTCAACCCTTTCCCTTCAGTAGTTCTTGAGAATCCTAAACTTGATTTGAAGGTACAAAGTTCATGAAGTTATCCAAAGTCTGTGCACAACACCCATGTAGACCTGTACATCAAATATATATTACTCTCCCTATTTTTCATATAGTCCAGCAAAAGAGACAGATTAAACAGGTTTAATATTACATTTAGATTAACAAGAGCAATCAGTAATCACATGTGTCGCCTCATGATGGCCAATTTCATGTTGGGACAAATTTTGTGACAGACGGACAGTGCACAACTAGACTTGGTACTGATCATTCCTGTAAAGTTTGGACAAAATTGCACCAGTAGTTTATGAGGAGTAGTCCGGACAAGCTCTTGCGTATCTGGCAACACACAGAAAAAAAAACCACCTTTTTATCAAAGGGCCATAACTCAGCCAAAAATCATTCAATTGGAAAACCCGTGCAATATGCGCAAGGACTTGAGCTACAGATCAATCCTGTAAAGTTTCATTGAAATTGCATTAGTGGTATAAGAGAAGTAGTCCGGACAAATTTTAAAAATTAAAATTATTAAAGGGCCATAACTCAAACAAAAATCATTGAACCGGAAAATGCTGACAATATGCACAACTACACTTGGTACTGATCATTCCTGTAAAGTTTGGATGAAATTATGCCTGTAGTTTATGAGGAGTAGTCAGAACAAGCTTTTGTGTATCTGGCAACACACAGAAAAAGAAACCTTTTTAACAAAGGGCCATAACTCGGCCAAAAATCATTCAACTGGAAAACCCTTGCAATATGCGCAAGGACTTGAGCTACAGATCAATCCTGTAAAGTTTCATTGAAATTGCATTAGTGGTATAAGAGAAGTAGTCCGGACAAACTTTAAAAATTAAAATTATTAAAGGGCCATAACTCAAACAAAAATCATTGAACCGGAAAATGCTGACAATATGCACAACTAGACTTGGTACTGATCATTCCTGTAAAGTTTGGATGAAATTGCTCCAGTAGTTTATGAGGAGTAGTCCGGACAAGCTTTTGCGTATCTGGCAACACACAGAAAAAAAAACACCTTTTTATCAAAGGGCCATAACTCAGCCAAAAATCATTTAACCGGAAAACCCGTGCAATATGCGCAAGGACTTGAGCTACAGATCAATCCTGTAAAGTTTCATTGAAATTGCATTAGTGGTATAAGAGAAGTAGTCCGGACAAACTTTAAAAATTAAAATTATTAAAGGGCCATAACTCAAACAAAAATTATTGTACCGGAAAATGCTGACAATATGCACAACTAAACTTGGTACTGATCATTCCTGTAAAGTTTGGATGAAATTGCACCAGTAGTTAATGAGGAGTAGTCCGGACAAGCTTTTGTGTATCTGGCAACACACAGAAAAAGAAACCTTTTTATCAAAGGGCCATAACTCGGCCAAAAATCATTCAACTGGGAAACCCTTGCAATATGCACAAGGACTTGAGCTACAGATCAATCCTGTAAAGTTTCATTGAAATTGCATTAGTGGTATAAGAGAAGTAGTCCGGACAAACTTTAAAAATAAAAATAATTAAAGGGCCATAACTCAAACAAAAATCATTGAACCGGAAAATGCTGAGAATATGCACATCTAGACTTGGTACTGATCATTCCTGTAAAGTTTGGATGAAATTGCACCAGTAGTTTATGAGGAGTAGTCCGGACAAGTTTTGTGACGGACGGACAGACAGACGGACAGACAGACAACGGAGAAGTGATCCCTATATGTCGCCACTACTCCGTAGAGGCGACACAACAATCATTACAGACAAAATTATCTACTGTTGTGTATTTCTAGTGGACACTTACATTGTACATAAAAATACAGAAGTTTCAAGAATTTGAATGTTTATTTTTCCCAACTGACTTATAGAGGATATTGAATGAGTGTAGGTTCAATACTGAATTTATTGAACAAGTTCAATAAAATTATATTAAGCAAGCTTCTGACGAGCAAAATATTATTTTATTCAACAAGTTCAATAAATTCAGTAATGAACCTACACGAACATAATACATGTATTCTATTTATCACATACATACCCAAAATAAAGACTGTTTAAAGTGCAAAAGAATATGTTTTTATTATTGCGCCTATAGTTTAATGGTAACATTTATTAAATGCGTCTTAACACTATACTATGATTGTATAACATAATTGATGTCACGCCAAAATATATGCACTCCCATGTAATACCATAATTACGGAGTCGCCAAATCGGCACAGGAATGTGAGAAAATCTATTTTCAATTTTTTAGACATGGTACTGGAACCTCAACCTTAATCAATATTGCTTATAGACAACTTACTTCGCCAGTGGTTTTGATGCCTAGACATACAGCGCAAACAATGAACCTTTCCTCTGCTTCATGTTTATCTTGAGACTCAAAGTACGCCAACTCTCCAGATCTGTACAATACAAACCAATTCTTCTTCCAGCGGTGTAACACAGTACCTGACATAAATCGGATAGAAAACAGAATCTGACACAAATCATTCTGAACATATTACCTTATAGAACACAGAATCTGACATAAATTATATATATAACAGCACCTGACATATTAAAATAAGATATAACACAGTACCTGACATAAATCATAAATAACACTGTACCTGACATAAATAAAAATTTTTTAAAAAAAATCCAATTATTTTTCACAAAAAAAAAAAAAACCGACAAAAAAATATAAAAACCCCTGTACCGACAAAAAACTAAATATAAATCAGCCCCAAAAACAAATCAAATAACCCTGTGCCTGATATAAACATGTATAACACAAGGTACCGGGAATATATATAATAATAAAAAGACCCCTGACAAAAATTTATGTAAAACAAACTGATAAAACTCTTTCATTTCTTTGATTTGAAATTTTTGTCTCAGTTTTGGTTTTAAAGAATTATTTTTTAAAGGGGGGGTTAAAAAACCTACAAAAGTACAAAAACAATTTCCAGTAGGGTCCTATAAAACAGCCTCAAGAGAAAGGCTATAATAAAAGGGACTGAAAAGTCCCCACTTTATTAAATAGCCCCGGGGTTTTTTTTACCTGCCCAGTGTATAGCACTGATACATGTGAGGATTGCCTGGCTTTCTTACCAGTATACCTCTATGTAGGTGGGAAACACTGAAAGTGCCTCTGAAAAATCCAAAGGGTGTTACCTAGGATTGAACCCAGACCCTCAGGAGTGATAGCCAGGGGTCTAACCAATTAAGCTATCATGCCACATTCATTCAGACTGACTTCAGATTTATGTCTTAGACTCTCTATAATGTCCAGTTCTGATCTATACAAATATTCAGTGATGAAAGTATGAATGAAACTTACTTCGTCTTTGAAGCCAACCTGCTTTCACTATCTGTATTTCCATTTCTCTATATCAACCTGTAAATGGACAGAATGGTGAACAAAAAAGAGTAAATTTGTTAAGTTAACCAACTTACTTACTAACTACAAAGCTCTGTAATGTCAAGTAACTACTAAAGTTCTGTAGTGTTTACTTACTTTACAGTGTCAACTAACTTGTAAGGTACAGTACTGTAATGCTATCTTACTATTTAAGCTTCATGCTGTAAATTTACAAGTTAAAGCTCTGTAATGTAAACATACTAAAAGGGCTCTGTTTAGTACTTGCAAAGTTCTGTAGCTTAAACCTACTAATAAAGTCTTATATTAAATTAATTAATACTATCAAAAAATTTCATATCACAAAACATGAATTAAACTAGCTGATGTTGTACGTCAGACCATTCTAAAGAAGTTACGCGAGAGCTCATATGACGTAATTCGAAGGAACCACTTAGAGTACTGGCATATATACTATATTTAGAACATCTTTTTTTTACATGACATGTTTTTTCAATACTCAAGTGAAGAATTCATTTTCATTTGCCTTTTTTAAAATATTTTACAGTACTTAAATAAGATAGTAGAATATAAATAAAGTTTAATTCAATGTATCAGACATTATGGGCTTGTCATAGTTTATGTTGGTCAAGCACTGTCCAGAAGCAAAAATATCTCAAAGCGACATCATATTTATAGGACTAAAATAAATGTAAGTCAGCATATCATCTTTTACAATTGTGGAAAAAAATATTTTGTAAAAAAAAATTAGAACTATACAAGCACATCACATATTTAAATAAACCCAAGGTTAATCTTGTACCCAAGTAAACAAACATTTGGCAAGATGAATATTTTCACCTATCGGAAATTATTTGGTAATTAATTTTCAAAATTTGTTTCTTTTTATCTGTCAATACTTGGTTTATTAAAAGATTATATATAGTTTTATCAGCATATTCACTTTACTCAATAGACTGCTTCATGAATAATTATGAACTGGTCAGATTCCTGGCACCATTATTGGTGGACTTTTACTACAGCGCTGTCTTCAGCGTAGACGTCCTGTCATAGTATAAAAACATGTACATGTACACTGAAGACTTTCAGCTTATTACAGCTAATTAAATTGCATAGATCTCACTTAATGTGAAATTCTGACACAAAACAAAATCCCTGGACTTGAAAATATCTTTATTAATTTTGACTACATAAACAGTTAAAAGCCCTACTTTAGAATCATATATCATGTGGAATGGGTACAGTAGTGATAGCCATATGTTTATGGGCAAAATAAATGATTCGATAGAACTGTGGTGCTCACGAACCTTGGTACGAGATACAGGTTGAGTACGTGAGTATATGTTTTATAACCTAAATTGGCTGTAACCCCTGACAGTAATAGGGCCCATTGGGATTCTGGGTGATTCCTCTAGAAGCAGCCATAATTTGGTGCTGCAGGCAACATTGACTAGGTGAAACTAATCCGTTCATTAGACTGGCAAATTGGTGCATCCAGACCTGGTACACAGACATATCTAGATAGGTAAGTCATCTACTTATAGCGAGCTCGACGAGCTGGCCCGAAGGGCCTGCTCGCAAAGCGAGCTTTACGGTAACGCGAGTACCTGCTAAGTGATGGTTTTGAAAACTTTCGTCCAAAGTACAGAATTGGACACATCGCAACCTTTCGAATTTAAAGATAACGATAAAAACTGAGGAATTCTGACTGAAAACGGATGTGTAGACTGGTCACCCGCGCACGTCTATGGGAACCATAATTGGGCAGGGAACCAGAATAACGGAAGCTGTGTATAAAAAATGAAAATCGAAGGCGCCATTTTGTTTGAAATCTGATAAATAAAAACAATTTTTTGTCGAATTTTGTTGTAAAAACTATCTAGAATGAAAGAAAATGGTCTAACTAAGAAAATGAATCCGAACACTAATATCTTTTATTCAGTCGTTAACGCTGTACAGACGTTTAAAGTATTGTTTATGTGACGTCACAATGTAGCGCCAAACAGCACGTGCAAAACAAACAAATCAAGTACGCTATTTTAATGTCGCAAACGTTTTAAGTTTTACATTTATTTCACTTTAAATAATCTTTATTTCGCTTGAAAAAATATAGAGTGAAATAAAATAAACAAAGTTTCATCAACGTTTTCAAAACTCGTTATTCATTTCACGACAGGGGCGGAGCCATATTTAACACACAGTACGTGTGACGTCACACGCAATCGTTAAGTACTGCATTTGAAATAAAAATGAGCGATTATTTCATACTATTTCACGTAAAAAGTACATCGAGCTCGCTTTGAGGCTTTGCCTTTTTCATATTAATGACAAGGTTCTACAGAACATATAATGCTCTTAGATTAAAAATTAAAATTATATTATAGAACGTAAAATATGACTATATGTTCAACAAGAGCTGTCAGAAGGACAGCGCGCTCGACTTTTTTAGTGCTTGCCTATAAAACAAAACTTTGACAGTTAAGGGCACACAAGACTTTAACTAGGAATTTCTAAGTACAAATCAAGAAACATTTTCACAGAGTTATCTTCTCTTGCTTACAGATAGGTCTCATGATGGCACATAAGAACTCCAACTTCCAAAGTAATATCTCAAATGGTTAGGTCAACAAGTGGACAAGAATGAAAATTTTAACTGAGTTTCTAAGTCAAAAAGGGCCATAATTCAAATAAAATCCTTAACAGAATTACCTTCTCCTGCCCATGTTTGGGACCATGATGGTAAACAAGTATTCCAACTTTCAATTTAATATCTCAACCAGTTCAGTCAAAAAGTTGACTGGTACAAAAAACTTAACCAAGATTCTAAGTCGATAAAAGGCCTTAATTTTTAAAACAAATCCCTGACAGAGTTACCTTCTCTTGCCTACAGATGGGGGTAATGATGTGAAATAGCATTAAAAGTTTCAAAGCAATATCTCAAAGGGTTAAGGCAATAAGTGGATTTTACCCATATTCAATGTATTTTCTAAGTCAAAAAGGGGCATAATTTCTGTCAAAAACCTTGACAGAGTTATGTCCTCTTGTCTGTTGATGAAGGTCGTGATGGTAAACAAGTATGGTCAGTTTCAAAGCAATACCTCCAATGGTTTTGAAATAAAGTGAGGTGGTACAAAAAACTTAACCAAGCTCAATACACTTTCTAAGTCAAAAAAGGGCCATAATTCTGTCAAAAACCTTGACAGAGTTATGTACTCTTGTCTGTAGATGGAGGTTATGATGGTGAACAAGTATGGTAAGTTTCAAAGCCATACTTGTAATACTTCTGAAATAAAGTGGGTGTGTACGAAAAACTTAACCAAGGTGTGACGCCGACGCCGACGCCGGGGCGAGTA